GCATCTGCTAGCGCTTCCAATGAGAAAGAGAAGAGGCCCTGGGTTCCTGCGTGGGATTCCCGGCCCCTGCTGCCTGCCTGGCTCCCCGGGAGCCACGGGCTCCTCACTGGGCTCTTCTTCCCCAGATGTCCAGTGGCATGAGCCAGCTGATCGGGCTGAAGGAGAAGGGCCTGCCCCAAATCGCCCGCCTCCTGCAGTCTGGCAACTCCGACGTGGTGCGGTCCGGAGCCTCCCTCCTGAGCAACATGTCCCGCCACCCCGTGCTGCACAGAGTGATGGGTAAGACCACCCGTCTCTCCTCTCCCTCGAGACAGGACACGCAGGCCCCTCACTTTGCAGAGCCTGCTGGGGGGTCACCCTTTTAACCATTCCCCGGGGGGAGCATTCTAGGAGGGGAAGCTGGCCAAAGGCCAGTGTGCAGATAGACAGGGCCAGTCCCCTGAGGGACGGGAGCAGGTCTGCAGAGGTCCCATCTGGGCTCGGAGCCCTGAGGGGCCGCCTCGCCGGGAGCCTGGCAGAAAGCAATCCCAGGCTGCGGCCCCAGAGGGAACGCGCCTTCCCTTGGTCACCTGACCCTGCGCCCCCTCTCCTTCCTCTCCCAGGGAACCAGGTGTTCCCGGAGGTGACCAGGCTCCTCACCAGCCACACTGGCAACACCAGCAACTCCGAAGACATCCTGTCCTCGGCCTGCTACACCGTGAGGAACCTGATGGCCTCGCAGCCGCAGATGGCCAAGCAGTACTTCTCCAGCAGCATGCTCAACAACGTCATCAACCTGAGCCGCGGCAGGTGCGCCGGGACCGGTGCCCCGCAGGGGTCCTGCAGCTCTCCACCGCGCAGGGAAAATACCCAGGGCAGGGGGGAGGCAGGGATGGGGGATGCCAGAATGAGAAAGTTCTAGAAGCTGAGAGTAAGTGGAGCTGAGGGCCCAGCATCTAGGCCTCGGGCTACTCAGGGGGAACAGAGGCGGCACACGTCTCAGCTGGGGATGTAGGGGCAGCAGGAGGCGTGGGGCAGCAGACCCAACTGTGGGGGACTTTATCCTGCCCTGTGAAGCCCTCCCTTCCCAGGACGAGGACTGCGGCAGCGGGCGGGCGCTCCCACCTCATGGCCCCTGAGGACAGTCGTGGGGGCCTCTAGATGGGCGGGGGGCTGGGATTGTGCCCACTGTGTAGAGTGATCAGGGCTCAGCACACCCCAACTGGGCTCCTCTCTCCTGCACCCCTGGGGCCTCTCCCTCCCCATCTCGGAGACCTGGAGGGGAGGGTGGGAGGGGGGCGTTCTTGTCGTGCCTCCCAGAATCTCATCTCGCAAATGCACATCCCTCTGCCAGTGCCTCACCCAAGGCTGCAGAAGCTGCCCGACTGCTCCTGTCTGACATGTGGTCCAGCAAGGAACTGCAGGGTGTCCTCAGACAGGTAAGAGCCCGCGTCGTCGACCCCTGCCGAGGTTCTTCCCCCCCAGCAAAGGCTTTCCCTGTAACAACTGAAGTCCAGGTGGGTCGAAAAGGGAGGCAGAGTGGCCTGCCCCACCCAGCTGAGTGAGGCTCACACGCGACAGAGCCCAGAGCGGCTGAGAGACAAAAACAACGTCGGCATGAAAATGCGTGTGACGATGCTCTGGCCGATCTCTAGGCTCCGGGCTCCGCGAGGGGTGCTGAGCGTGTGGCGGGCAGAGGAAAGCAAGGAAACGTGTGAGACCCTGGGGTGGGACCCTTCAGGAGCAAGCTGAGAAACAGGGTGGACAGAAGGCAGACATGTCATGTGGGGCGCTCTGGCTAGAAAGGTAGGTCTGGGCTGGATTACAAAACCGCCTGCAGAGCCTGAACTTGTGCCTTTGGCACTGGCAGCCGTGCAGGGTTTTGCGTGGCAAGAGGGGATCCAAGCGTCTCTGCCGTGGGGGAGAGAGAGCAGGCAGAGGGGCAGGGAGGGGAGGAGGAAGGGCTAGGAGGACGGGGGAGGCTGGGGACCGGCAGAGCAGCCTGGGCGGAGGAGGCGCAGCTCTTCTGCAGCCCAGCGGGGAGGCGGCAGGGAAGCCCAGGAGGCCACTGTGGTCACAGAGGGTTGGGGAAATCTGAAGGCCACGGCAAGAGTGGCCCTTGCTCTCCACGATCCAGCGCTCCTTTCCAACAGTGCCACACGGAGGGTGGGCTTGGCAAGGGCAGCCGTGGTCAGACCGAGGGGAGACAGGGAAGGAGGCCTGGGCGAGAGCTTCCTCACGCTGTCTGACGGTGGCCCAAGGTTCGGCTCACCCCAAAATACAAACAGAGACCACACCTGGCCTAAAACACGTGGAGAATCCACCGACGTCGCTCTCGGTGGGCGGCGGGCACCCCTTCCATGCAGTGCCGTGGGAGCCAGCACCCCCATTCAGCGTCACTCCCCCCAGCCGTGCTGACGGCGGCCTCGCCCGGTCTGGGTCAGGGCCCCTTTCTCCAAGCACCTTCGCTTCCATCCCTCGTTGGGTTGTCACAGGCACAGGTGACAGTCACACGTCTTATGTCCATTCGGTCGAGTAGGGAATCGGGGTTGAGGGAATTTACCTGGATTCGGTGAGTCAGAGCAGGAGCAAGGCAAGGATCCAGCGCTTTTCGCGCCTGGGCTCTTTCCACCAAATTCAGCCAAGCTCGACAGGACCCAGCAGGCAGGTCTGCAGGGGAAACGGCGGTACGTGCCCAAGCATGGAGGAACGGGGCTTCGAACCAGCAGCTGTTCGGAATCCCCCGTGGCCTTTCCTCCTGCTCCCACACGTCAGCAGCAGCTGGCTTGGCTCTCAGAGGTCAGCACTGGTGCCACAGCCCCCTTCCCCAGGGGACCTTGGCCTGCTGCTGCCGTCACACTGTGCTGTCCTTGTTCACTCCCAAGCGTGTTCACGGAGCACCTGCTATATGCTAGGACAGATATCAGGAACGAGACTCAGTCTCCACGCAGCAGCTGCTCAGGGGCTGGCGGGGTTGGAGGTGGAGAGCAGACAGGTAAACAGAGCCTTCTAGCACGGCGGCTTCACCACCAGCGCCAGCCGCCTGCGCCTGTGTTTGGGACACACCGGCCACGTCCACCGTGCCTGAGAGCTCTTGTGAGAATTAGCGACGACAGGCAGAGATGGTCAGGAGGAAGAACAACTAACAAGCTCTCTAACCTCACGGGTACTAGCCGAAATCCTCATGCCTTGATTCAGATTTCTACAAATACAAGCAGGAAATTCGAACGTGCTGATCCAAACACGTTTCCCTAACTCACGGGAGCAACAGCGTTCTGTTTGGTTGCGCATTTCCTGAGGCCAGTTCTAGCGCTTGACACGTGCACTTAGCGGTCAGGGCACGCCCCGTCCAGAGGCGGGATGAGCCAAGGGTGCTCTGGGAGGGCAGCGTCTGGCCCCACAGCGAGCCCCACACTGTGTGTGCGTCACACAGTTGATGTTTCTGTCTTTGCAGCAAGGTTTTGATAGGAACATGCTGGGGACCTTAGCTGGGGCCAACAGCCTCAGGAACTTCACCTCCCGATTCTAAGAAGAGGCTGTCCAAGCAAGTTCACCTTGCAGGTAAGGACCACCCCACCCGCAGGGCAAGGGATGCCTCTGGGACCACGCAACAGCCTCAGCCAGTCTCAGAGAGAACGGATAGGCCTGAGCTCCCCAGGGACACAGAAGCATCCTTTGGCCTGGCAGACAGCCTGGCTCCCGCCAACACAAGCAGCTGTGTAGACTGCTTGGCTGGGGGCATGAGCTGTCCCACCACAAGATATTAGGGATGTATAATGTCCTGGTAATGTCAGAAGGGCCAGAGGGTCTGTGCAGGACTGTTGGGTACAAATATGTAGGTTGCACACTGCACAACACTGGTGGTACCATTCACATGGAAGACAGCACGGAATACAATATATACAATTGAAATTATAGAATATGTCATTCTGGAATTAGTCACCCATAGCTCACTTTTTATCCTTTTTATAGTCCACTTTCCAGTCTCTGCACATGCCTAGGATGGACAAGCTTATTTCCAGCTGATGTTTCTAGGGACCAAAAACTCAGAACAAATTCTACACCAAAGGCTTGCAAGCCTTCATGTTCACTGGAGTCACCTGGGATGCTTGCACACTCCTGGCCCAACCCCAGCAATTCGGACTCAGTAGCCGTGGTGTAGGGCCCAGGAAAATGCATTTTTAAATGAGCATCTAAAGTATTTCTGATGCAGGCAGAGAACCACAGCTAGATCCCCAAATAAGCTGTCATCGACCCTGGAGAGGGTCCTCAGAGGCTGTCCCAGTGTAGAGCCATCTGCAAGTAGCCAGGGATGAGGACAGGGCTTCCGAGCCAAAGGGGACTTCTTAGCCCAGGTTGTCTGCCAGCACCCTCCCCACCCCCAGCATCTGGGACCCAGTATCTGGGTCCTCGTGGGCAGACAGGGCTGTAACTTTGGTCCAGACAGATGTTAAATAAGACTCCAGACACTCTTTCCCGGTAGATGGGCTGCAACAGCTTGAAGACAGAAAAGGGAAAAAGATTCAACTCAGTAGATTCTTAATGAGCTCAGTCTCCATGCTTAGCACTGAACGGGGTGGAAGGGGAGTGGGGTGGGGGACGAAGCTAACGAGCTTCTCAATCAACAGGAGCAACCCATAAACGTGCCAGGTGTGGCCCTGAGACCAGTCTCAGGCCAGAGCACACCTTAGGGCAGATGCAGGTGAGAAGAGGTGGCAGTATTGGCCGGACTCACTGGGGTGGAAACACGTCACTATAAATGCTAACTTGGGGCCTTCTCTTTTTCCAGAAAGATCTGACCCAGTTGAGAAGACCTCAGGCCTTGCTGGACAGGTCCTTCTGTCCATCCTGTGCAGTATTTGGAAAAGTTCAAATGCAGCTGAGAGGAAACCTGAAAACTGAGAATAATGGAAATATTTTTAGTTTCTTTTTTTTTCCTTGGGGGAACTGGTAGGCGATGGGGATTGGGGAGGTTGGGGGGGCTTTCTTGAGTTAAAGGGGCTTATATCTGATGTCAATACTTCTTTCTCTGAGAAATGGTATATATATATGTGTATAATGGAAATGTGTGTGCGTGTGTGTGCCTGTGTGTGTGTGTGTGTGTGTGTGTGTGTGTGAGTGCCTAAAACCATAACCACAGACTGCGAAAAGCTAGGGAAGCTATTCCAGCACAGCTCATCAGGTGGTGAAAAAGACTCTCCCGTGTTTCTTACTCATAGGCAAGGATGACATGTGCTTTTTGGTGAGCTGCCTGTAGGTCCTAAAACGCATTGTGCCAGGGCAGGGGGCTCCGGTGAGCCAGGCCCACCCATGGAGGAGGCCTGTGGGCTTCCCGCTCGCCATCTCTCTGGGGCAGGAAGAGGAACGGAGGCCGGGCTAACCTCCCCCAATAAGAGGCTGCTTTGCAGAAGGGAGATTTGGTGTAGCTCATGGGAAACTGAGTGCATCCGATAATGCCGCCTCCCTGCAGTGCCACAGGACCGGGGATGGGCAGGGTGTGGGCTCTAGAGACAGCAGGGCTTTCTCTCTTGCTTTGCCCTGTGAGGTCCACCTGGGGAAGCAGGAGCCAGAGAGATGGGGTGGGCAAAGCCCGACTTGTTATAGGACAGAGAAGGCGAAGATGGTGCTCCAGGAAGCCAAAGAGGTGTTCAGGGAACGGCGGTGTGGTCTTCGTGTTCCCAGCGGAGAGGGGAGCAGGCCAGGGCTGGGCACGCACCTGCTCAGGCTTCCCGCGGGATGGGTGGGCGGGGGTGTGGACGTTACCCAGGAAGGTGCTTCCCACCAGACCCTGCTGTGAGTCCAGTAAGGGCGTGTGGGGTCCCAGGAGATGTGGAGGAAGGGGATTCGGATAGATCAGGACAGGGAAGTGTCATATCGGGGCACCAACAAGCCCACACTTCAGCCAGAGTCCGTCCCCACCTTCCCCTGAAGCCCGGCCATCCGTCTCCTCTCCGTGAAACCCCCTGGGGATGTGACAAGGAGCCTATCAAGGCACCTGCCGCCCGGCCCCCAGCTGTGTGCACTGTGGGTGAGCAGCAGGAAGCCTGTCGGTGCCAACGACCGCCAGTGCAGACTGCCAGGCAGGGCAGAGCATAGCCTTCCTGGGGCCTCCTTGCCCCAGCCCCCACCTCTGTGTCTGCTGGTGTCAGAGGGGAATGAACTGCCGGTCTGCACCCTTCTCTAGAAGAGTGTAAGATGCTGCTCCTCCTCCTCCTCACTCCTCAGCCTCCTCCCCAGTCTCCTGACCCTCTGCACACCCCACAGTCCAACCCCACCTCTCACCCCAGCAGTCAGAACTGAAAAACCCTGTTCTGAAGTCAGCATGTGCCCATTAAGAGCTGGGACAGCTGAGGATGGGGGAGACCAGACATGAGAGGACGCTGTCCCCTGAGAGGAGTCCCAGGCCACGTAACCAGGTGTGCGATGGTGCTGTGGTCTGGACACCCTCCCTGTTCTTGCCCATGCTGAAGGGCCTGCTCCTGGCTCATCAGGCCCTCTCGGGGACCCACGTGGGAGCCTGGTCCCACCAGACGGTCCTGGGCATAGTTTCAGGGTGCCCCCTTTGCCTGTCATCGGGACGGAGAGGAATTCATCTCTTAGCAAATATTTATGGAGCACCCACCTGTGCCGGGCAGTGCCGTGAGCACTCAGGACACATCTGCAAACAAAACAGACCACACGTGTCCCAGCATGGCTCATGTCCTCCCGGAGGACAGAGGAGACATGGGGGCCTTGGCTTTAGGAGTGCCCTGGTCTGAGAGGGGCCGTGCAGTCCATAAACTGCTACTTGTGACACTGCTGTAAGCCTGGGAGATGCCTCTTCTCCTTGGCACCACTCTGACCTCTTGGCTCATTTTCCTCCCCCAGAGGAAGAGGCAGGTGGGCCCAGCCCTCTGCCTGGGAAAGAGGCAGCTTTTCAGCCCTCAGTGAGCTGAGGAGGGCGGGTAGGCCAGGCCTGATTTTGGTAACCTCTGTGCCCTCTCAGGCCAGCCAGGTGGGCCTGGTCACCCGGGCCTCTGACCCATGCCTGTCGCTTTGGAAGAGGCAGGACCGAGAGGACGTGAGGATGCATTTCCTGGAGAAAGAGAGGAGGCAGTTTGCTGGACTCCACGTATCCGAGGCAGGTCTCAGTATTTTAAGTCCGTGTTGACCTCACGCTACCAGGGTCGACACCCCAAACAAGAAATTCCAATTTGAGGCCAAATGAAGACAGGCACAGACTCTGTCCCCGCCCTGACCCCAAGATCTCCTATGCTTAAGACAAATCCAGTTATGACCAGCAGCAGCCTCTCCAGTGGGGCCAGACCAGCAACTCAGACTCCACGCTTCTCCTGGGGACCCCAGAGGCGTGATGTTCTCTCTGCTTGACCCCCTCGAAACCCGTCTGGGAGGTGGGTGGCTGGGAGGGGCACGGCCGGGGCTAGCAGTGGGTGGGGGCAGGGGAGCCTCCCTATAGCCCGTCTGCCCCTCGCTTCATGTTTGTACAAAAGCCGTGTACTGGCCAGGCCCAGATTTCCTGTGTGATACGCTATGTATTTGCTTTTTTGGAAATGTAGGAATCCAATAAATTGCTAGCGTTTCTTTGAATCTTTCGAGCAGTGGATTATTCGGGGTGCTGTTGAGGAATGAAGGGGCTACTCATAGGCTTCCAAGATCTCCTCTCACTGACTCTGTGCCAGACGGGGATTGAGAATGCCACCTGAGGGTAGAGGGACACCGTTCGTAGGCACCTGCTCTATGTTAGCCCACCTGAGCCTCACCATAGCTCGGTGGCACTAGGATTACTATCCTAGTTTCATAAATAACTAAAGTGAGGCGTAGGGAGGGAGCGAACATCTCCAATGCCACCAAGCGTGAACCCATCCAGGCAGGTATCTGTAGGAAAGAGGACGTCAAGAATGAAGTTCAAGGAGCTGATGTTTATTGAATGCCTATTCTACCTGGGTTCTGTATCAGGGGCTGGAGGGTCACAAAAACAAAGGATGTGGTGGGTGCAGCTTCAAGAGGTTTATTAGGGACAAGACATGCATATGGGACCTTCTGGGACACACATAGTAAATTCCAAGTGATGGCGAGGACATAACCGCCGCAGGCCAGCTGGGTGCAGGGGTCGGGGTGCTCGGGGAGGGGCTGGAGGTGAGCTTTTCCCAGCCTAGGAGGGTGGCGACTGGCAAGGCCCCTCTGCTCCAGCCCAGGGCCCTGACCTCCTGGATCATCCCGCAGTTTAGTGATGGCCAGGCCGGCCAGGGAGGCGGAGCCGTCCCACAGCCCAGGGGAGGAAGATGGCCCATCTATGGCCCAGACTGTTAAATAAACGAGGCCTGGGGCCTCCCAAAATGTTTTGAGACCTGAAAAATATGCATTGGCTCCAAAATGTGAGATCATATTACAAATTCAAAATCGATAAATATTCACATTTTTAAGCTTTCATTAAAATATGGCACGTATGCAGAAACATGCACAATTTGACATGTGTGCAGCTCTGTGAATCTTCTCGGACCAAACAGCACCCAGCTCAGGAAACAGAACAGCATCATCCTAGAACCTTCCTCGTACCGTTCCCGTCACTGTCCACCCGCCAAGGGTAACCACTAGCCTGACTTCCAGCGCCATACATTAATTCTGCCTGGTTTTGAACTTTATAGAAAGGGAGTCCGTGGTAAGTCCTTTCTGTGTCTGGCTTCTTTAGCTCAGCAATGAGTTTGCAAGATTCACTTGCTCTATCGCACGTGACGATCCCTGCTGTTCAGTGATCCACACACAGCTGTGCTACAAAAATCAATATGGGCCGGGCGTGGGGCTCACGCCTGTAATCCCAGCACTCTGGGAGGCCGAGGTGGGAGGATCGTTTGAGCTCAGGAGTTCAAGACCAGCCTGAGCAAGAGTGAGACCCTGCCTCTACTAAAAATAGAAAGAAATTAGCTGGACAACTAAAAATATATAGAAAAAATTAGCTGGGCGTGGTGGTGTGTGCCTGTAGTCCCAGCTACTCGGGAGGCTGAGGCAGGAGGATCACTTGAGTCCAGGAGTTTGAGGTTGCTGTGAGTTAGGCTGATGCCACGGCACTCTAGCCTGGGCAAGAGAGTGAGACTCTGTCTCAAAAAAAACAAAAAAAAAGCAATATGACCTCGTCATCGTTGTTACAGCTCTTATTCACAAACATATAGAAATGATTTTTGTGTTAGTTGTCTCAATTCCCCAAAATTCCCAGAGACGATGTGATTACTGAGAAATTGTAACAGTGAAGAAGTTCGATGTTAGGTGGGCTGCGGGTGCATTAGCGGGTAGCATTGCCAAAGGGCTACAAAGTCTCAATTCAGCCGTCCCTGGCCAAGAGGGTCCCAGGCCCTCCTGGCCCCTCAGGGCACTGTCCAAAGACAGCAAGAGGGTCCAGCCACAGAAGGATGAGACCAAACTGGGAGGACCAGGGGCAGCTGGAAGCCTGGACTATGGCATAGAGAAGGTCTGTGGTCCTGGAGGCTGAGTCTCCCAGACCCCGCGGCCAAGCTGCCCCCGAGTCCATCTGCCCCTGTGCCTCGAAGCCATTTCCTGCTGTCCGCGTTGCACCTCACCTGGCTGGCCCGGGGCCCTGTTCTCCCACTAGAGACAAAGCATTCTGTGGGCATCTCTTTAGGACGCAGTGCTTTCTGCTGCACAGCACAGCTGGGAAAAGGAGTGGACAGACGTTATTAACAGTAACAATGGCCTTTTCATTCGCGCCGCCGCACAATGACCCCTTTCACTCTCAACGCTTTGGGACATTTATTTTCTGTTTTGATCTTTGCTTCATTCTAGCGAGACGGGCAGAGCACAGAGTATTAAATTCCAATGTATCGATGAAACTGAGACCCAAAGAGAGACAGTGACTGGCCCAGAGTCATGTTGCAAGTTCGTGGCAGAACCAAGCCTAGAGCCCAGGTCCCGCTGTCCCAGCCCAAGTGCGCTCTGGTCAACTCACACGAGGCTGTGCGGCGTCAAAGCGTTGGAACCCATTCAGAAAGGCCCGACACAAAGGCGATGCTCTGCGTAATCAAATCCTTCCTGCATCAGAAGCTCGCGGCACCCGAGGCATCGTGAGATTACACATCCTAGGAGCTGCGTTTGCAGTGCAGACAGGCCAATAAGTAACAAGTTCTGATAGACGGAATATCAGACACCAGAAACTGCCGTGTGGATCACCTAGTCCGGGGCCAATGGGTGGGTTGATTAGAATACGGAGCTAACGAGGCCAAGGCCACAGGGCGAAATGAGTGACCCCTGCAGGTGTCCCCCAGCCCGACCTGAAATCCTGCAGACGCTTGCTGCTGGATCAGTGGAGTGGGAACGTCGCCGAGTGACATGTCATTCTCTCCGGGAAGTGGGTCAAAGCTGACCAGCCCCCCGATGGGGGTGCAGCAGCGACACCCCATACACAGAAAGAACTTCCTGCTGCCAACATTCCAGACCCTTAGGTGGACCATTCACAAGTTTCGTGACGGGCGGATTAACTTTTTTTAAGAGTTTTTTTAAGCACTCAGCCTTTATCGAGTGGTTCTCAGTCTCTGGGCCATAAATGCTGCCCCTACGCGAGGCTGTTCAGTCCTGCTCTCTACGTTTTCTCAGACAGGAAACCTCAGGCAGCTTTCCAAGCTAGTGGGGCCCACCCTGGGCGCAC